CTCGCTGCGCATGTTCGGCAGCCACAAGGCGGTGGAGATCGAGCAGCGCCGCGTGCAGTCGGCCGGGCCCTGGATCATCCACCCCTACAGCGACTTCAGGTCAGCGCCGCTGTCCATGGTGCTGAGCAGCCCGCGCCGCGCCGCGCCGCGCCGGCCCGTGTGGGGCGGGAGAGCCGAGGGTGCTGGGGGTCTCCATCTCCGGACCTAGGCAGGAGCTGCCCCAAATCCAAGGGGATTCAGCGCTGCTCCGGCTCCGGGAAAGGGTGGCACCTGCGCGGGCTGGGAGGGCCCCGTGTTTCCCAGGGGCCGGCGGGGGGACAGGGTGTCGTGCCAGGTGGGAGGACACAGACGTGCGTGGGGGGAGGAGCAGGGAGGCACGGGCGACAGGCGTTCGCCACAGGGCCTGCGCCTGCCCCTTGTGCCCCTTCCCAGACAGCTGCGAGCCTGGGCACCTGCTGCCAGTGCCTCCCTCTCCCAATGCTGCCCCGGCCCTTAATCCCACTGCAGCGGCGGCCCCATCCCTGCTTGCACCCACTCGTAACGTGCCAGACAAGCTAAGCTGCGGTTATCTCCGAGGTGATCTCCCCCGGCAGGGTGAAGGTGACCCAGTGATACAGGGTGGGGGGTGGGGGGATTATGCATTACGGTGGCACCACAAGCCCCGGCTGAGAGCAGGGCCCTGCGCTGGGTGGCGCGTGCAGAAATGGAGGCAGCCAGCCCCAAAGTGCTTGCAGCCTCCGTCAGACACGAGCCCTGGGGACTGGGGCAGGAGGGACCAGACCAGTGCTGCCAGGGGCGGCTGAGCTGTGACTGGGGCCAGTGCCCATCAGGGCTGCATGTGGGTGTAGGTGGCATTAACTTCTCCTGCCAGACTCCTGAGCAGTCATGTCCTCTGACGGGCAGTGAGCAATCAGTAGGAAGCCCCTTGTCTGGCTGGTGAGGCCCCAGGCTGGGAGAGGTTACGCAGTCCCGTGGCACAGTCCCGAGGCAGCCATGGCTAATCCTCCTTGCTGCTGCCATGGAGACTTGGGGCCTCGCCCACGCCAGCTCCCCGGCGGCTTGAGCTCCCTGTCCCTGTGCAGGGCTCCACAGGGCAGGGGCAGAGATGTCCTCCACATGGCATCAGCATTTCCTACTTTCCCCTTTGCCACCACACTGTCTACAGCGTTCCCGGTGCCTTGGGGTTCGCCACTGACTAGGTGGCCCCGTCCCTTTGTGGGCTTGGGGCCTCTGTGAGAGGCTCCAGGTTACAAAGAGGAAGACAGAGGAGTGAAGAGCAAGGGGTAGGGCCCTGGCTCTAAAGTGCTGGACTGTGCCCCCTGGCTACAATTGGGACCAAGTGACAATGTCCAGGTCGGACCCTGACTCACATCTACCGCTTTCTGCACGTAGAGACCAGGCTGGGTCTGGGGGGTAGAGAGCATGGGAGTGGGCAGGTTTTAGATAGCCAGGAAAGGGGCTGTATGGGTGTCCCAAGGTCCCGGCTCGCGCGTGCATGAAGCTGGGACGCTGTGCGTGTGACTGCACATGAGGGTATCTGGCTGTGCTCTGCCCAGCTGCACAGCAGTTACCCTGTGCACCTTGGCCTGGCTGGTGCATAGGATCATAGGAGCGAGGGCTAGAAAGGACCTTGGGAGTCATCGAGTCCAGCCCCTACTCACAGCAGGACAAGCCCCAACTAGATCATCCCAGCCAGGGCATGTGGGGATGTGTCTGTGCCTCTGGGACACTTGTCTGGGCTGAGGGCCTGATCCAGAGGGAATCCAAGCCCAGGGCCCCTGGGGCAGCTTCACCTACATGGGGCTTGCAGGGAGCGGCTTCCTCAGGCCTTCTGCTCATGGGTTTGAGCAGAGGCCCAGCTAGTAGGGCATTCACGTGGCCTGGTCTTCATTGTCCGCACGCTGCCGTAGCTCCGAGCCACGACTAGGCACAGCACATTTGCCTAGTAGCTGCAAGAAAGGCAGGTGCTGATTCTGAGCCTGCAGTAGTTTGCTCTGGCAGAGGTCAGGGGAGGACAAGGGAGGTGGTGATCAGGGGCTGGGGTTCAGGGTTGTAGATGTGATGGGGAAGGCCTTGGCAAGGCCCCTGGCAGAGACTGGACCTGTGGGGAAGGGGCCAGGCCGGGCTGCACAGCAGGACAATGACAGGTTGGGATGGAGCCGAGAAGTTGAGGCCTGGCTGGGGCTTTGCCCATGATGTCAGGTGGTGTGGGGAGAGGCCAGGCTGGAGCTCCCTGAGACACCCTGACAGCAGCTGTCTGCAGCCACCTCCCCCAGGCACCCTGGACGTGTGGCAGAAGCCACATCTCTGTGCTGTCCTCCGAGGCTCCAGCCGCTCTGAGGATATTTCCCTTCTCTCCCCCCTGCACTGTGCCCCCCCCCACAGGTTCTACTGGGACCTCATTATGCTCCTGCTGATGGTGGGGAACCTGATCATCCTGCCCGTAGGCATCACCTTCTTCAAGGACGAGAACACGCCGCCCTGGATCGTCTTCAACGTGCTCTCCGACACCTTCTTCCTGGCCGACCTGGTACTGAACTTCCGCACAGGCATCGTAGTGGAGGACAACACAGAGATCATCCTGGACCCCCACACCATCAAAACAAAGTACCTTAAGAGCTGGTTCCTGGTTGACTTCATCTCCTCCATCCCTGTTGACTACATCTTCCTCATCGTCGACCTGGAGACTCAGGTGGACTCAGACGTCTACAAGACAGCGCGGGCTCTGCGCATAGTGCGCTTCACCAAGATCCTCAGCCTGCTGCGCCTGCTGCGCCTCTCTCGCCTCATCCGCTACATCCACCAGTGGGAGGAGGTGGGTGGCCAGGAGCCAGCTGGAGGGGCTGAGGGGCATCCTAGGGGCTCGTGCCTGGGGGAGGTGGAGGGTGAGTGGGGCCCCCTGGCCAGGAGTTCAGGGGCCGCTGGTTGCAAGGTGAGGAGCTCACCAGGGACCTGGTGCCTGGAGATGGGGGAGCTCTTCCCTTCCCCACGGATGCCCTGGCCTGGGGAGCAGTGGTTCCTTACTGTCTTGCTCCCGGCTTCCCCCATGCCCAGATTTTCCACATGACCTATGACCTGGCCAGCGCTGTGGTGCGGATCTTCAACCTAATCGGCATGATGCTACTGCTGTGCCACTGGGACGGCTGCCTCCAGTTCCTGGTGCCCATGCTGCAGGACTTCCCCGAGGACTGCTGGGTCTCCATCAATCACATGGTGGTGAGTGCCATGCTTCTCCACTCCTGGAGCCCAGCCCCAGGCCTCCGCAACTGCCAGCAGGAGCTCCCACCTGGGTGAGGTTGCACATGGTCCAGGGCGGGAGAGTCCCCACCCACCCCAGTCCAAAGCACCTGCTCATGCACACACTCTTGCTTGCATCCTGGCACGTGCACACGTGCTCACTCTTACACATGTGCCCTAAGCTCCTGAGCCAGGAGCTTGCAGAGGTCCTGCAGGTTGCTGCGACCCTGGGGCACCAGTCAGGTGGGAGGGAGTGAGGGCGATCACGGCTCACTTCTGCAGCCAGCAGGGCAGATCTATCCCACCAGGTGCTAAGGGAGAGCAGGGAGGGGGCTCCTGCTGCTTCCATGGGGGCCCAGCCCAGAAGGTGTGGCCCTGGGAGGTGGGTGATCCTGGGTTTTCAGGCAGCGGCGACTGCTGGGGCACAGCTCCATCCTCCTTTCCATGCCTCCTGTCTCCAGAATGACTCATGGGGGAAACAGTACTCGCACGCCCTGTTCAAGGCCATGAGCCACATGCTGTGCATTGGCTACGGGCAGCAGGCCCCAGAGGGCATGACCGACGTCTGGCTCACTATGCTTAGCATGATCGTGGGTGCCACCTGCTACGCTATGTTCATTGGCCACGCCACCGCCCTCATCCAGTCACTGGACTCATCCCGTCGACAGTACCAGGAGAAGGTGCGTGGGGCAGGCAGGAGATGTGCCTGGGGCTGCTGGGAGGGGTCTGGGGTACGAGTCCAGAACAAATTGACCTGGTGCCCACAGCTGCTCGTCATGGGAGTTGGCCATGCTCCTAGCTCCTGCCCTCAGGCCCTGGTACTTGGGGAGGGCTGCAGGTGGGACCATGAGCTGGCAGTGCCCCTCCACCCTCATAGAGCCAAAGGCCCTGGAGTGTGGTCACTGCCCTCTCCATAGGGGTTCTGCTACAGAAGAGGGTTTCCAGCTCCCGCTGTGAGCTTGTGTCCATCTGTCTGTCCCTCCAGTACAAGCAGGTGGAGCAGTACATGTCGTTCCACAAGCTGCCCGGTGACATGCGCCAACGCATCCATGAGTACTATGAGCACCGCTACCAGGGCAAGATGTTCGACGAGGAGAACATCCTGGGAGAGCTGAGTGAGCCACTCAAGGAGGTAGGGAGGGGCTGTTCTCCCAGGGTTGGGCAGGGGTGACTGTCGTGGGAACTACCCCCGGGGGGACATTCTGCCCTGGATCCCATGACACCGTGGCCTCACTGCTCCCACAGGAAATCATCAACTTCAACTGCCGGAACCTGGTGGCCAACATGCCGCTGTTCGCCAACGCCGACCCCAACTTCGTGACGGCCATGCTAACCAAGCTGCGCTTTGAGGTCTTCCAGCCTGCTGACTTCATTGTCCGCGAGGGCACTGTGGGCAAGAAGATGTACTTCATCCAGCACGGTGTCGTCAGCGTCCTCACCAAGGGCAACAAGGAGACCAAACTCTCTGATGGCTCCTACTTTGGGGGTGAGGCTGGATTGGGCACCGGGAGGGATAGGGAGAGGCAACACAGCTTGTGGGGGGGGCCGCTTCACAGCAGTGATGCAGGAGGAGCGGCCCCGTACCCTACACTCTCCCCTCAGCCCCGGCCCCTCCACCTGCCCAGCCGATGCCTTTGCCATGTGCTCTAGGTTTTTGCTTTGGGAATCTACCAGGCATGCTGCCCCTGGCTTCCATTCCTAGCTTTGAGGGGGAAGGGGGTCTAGTGGTTAGAGCAGGGGTGGCCACGACAGTGAGGACACCTGGGTTCTCCCTGACTGTAAGTGGCTCCCATAGGAGGAAGCAGGGTGCAGGAGTGGCCGGGGGTGGGGCTGCGTCTCTGATGCACTGCTGCCTCCACAGAGATCTGCCTGCTGACGCGGGGCCGTCGCACAGCCAGCATCCGCGCTGACACCTACTGCCGCCTCTACTCGCTCTCTGTGGACAACTTCAACGAGGTGCTGGAGGAATACCCCATGATGCGCAGGGCCTTCGAGACTGTTGCCATGGACCGCCTGGACCGCATCGGTGAGGCCCCCATGCCCCACTTCCAGCCCCACAGGTCTCCTGGGTTCAGGGGTGCCCCCAAGGATGGGCACCTTTCCCTGCTGGCCCTGGCTGGGCTCTGGGCTTCCCTTTCTCTCAGGTGGCAGGGGAAAGAGGGCAGCTCCTGGGGAGGGGCTGTAAGCGACCTCAGCCTCCTCCACCCTTTGTGATCTCTGCTGGGAAGCACTGAGCTGGCTGTCTGTCAGCCCCTCTGCACTGCACCAGGAAGTTGGGCACCTTGGCCAAAGGCCCTTCGCCCTGCTCCCCCATGCCTCCATTTCCCCTTCTGGAACATGGTGGGGATGGTGCTGCCCCAAGTGCTTCTCCCCATGGCCCTGCCCTGCCCTCAGCAATGCCCTCTCTCTGCCCAGGCAAGAAGAACTCCATCTTGCTGCGAAAGCGGGCAGAGCACAGCTCGGGGCCTGTGAACAGCGAAATGGTCCAGCAGATTGTCAAGCATGACCGCGACATGGCGCGCAGCATCCAGGGCCTGCAGCAGGTGGCCGTGGGCCGGGAGCTGAGTGGCAAGCCAGTGATCTGGGAGCCCCTGGTGCATGCACCACTGCAGACAGCTGCCGCCACCACCAACGTGGCCATTGCCCTGACCCACCAGCAGAGCCTGCAGGCCCACATCTTCCTGCCCCCCTCGTCCATAGCCAGCCCGCTTTCACCTGACGCTGTGCTGCTCCCCAGGCAGGTGCGCCGGTCCCAGCCTAGCCTGGGGGGCTCCCGGCCCTCTTCGGTGAGCTCCCCGTCAGGGGCACCATCCCACATCCACACACCGGCGGCCGGCTCGCCGTCCTCCCCATTGGTCCAGTCCCAGTCATCCTTGGAGAGCACGGGGCAAAGACCAGGCCCTGGGGCACAGCCCTTGCCCAGGGGGGTGCCAAAGGGGGAGCCACCTGCCAAAGCAAAGCAGCCCCTGATGGGCTCCCAGCCCCAGCTCTCCAAGTCCCGAGGCACCTCAGCCTCCACCTCACTCCTGCAGCAGCCAGCGGGAGCCCCATCACCCAGCTCCGAGCAGGCACTCACAGCAGGGAGAACGCTCCACTACAGCCTCTCCCGAGCCACTGGCTCCCACATCTCCCTGCTGATGCAGCCACAGCAGCTGGTGAAGCACCGCAGCATCCAAGGCCTGCCTATCGGGAGGCTCACCCAGGATGTCCGGCTGCTGTCAGCCTCCCAGCCCTCTCTGCCCAATAAAATCTCCCAGCACATGGACGGAGGGGCCGCCCAGCCGGGCCGGAAGTCGGCAGGGAACCTGGCTCACAGGTCATCTCCGTCGGTACCTGGACTCCTCGCCAAGGCATCCCCGGGGGCCGCGGGGCAGCCAGCACTGCCACAGCAGGCACCGCCAGGCCTGCCGGCTCAGCCCGGCCGGCCCCTGAATGGAGCCTCCACCCCACAGTCCCCCGTTTCCATGCCCCGGCATGCAGCAGGGCCCTCCCGCAAGGGTTCTGTGGCCTTCAGTCCAGAGGTGGAAACAGGGAAACCGAAACTGTCGTCCAACATGTGAGACCTGGGGCTGCATCCATACATGGGGTGGGTGGGGGGAGAACTGCCCTGAGGCTGTGTCGAGGTGGAGGAAAATCCTCTTGGGCTGGGCTGAGCTGGGTTGGGTCTGGGGACAGGAGGCAGGAAAGAGGGAAGCAGGGCAGCAGCCTGCCTGCAAAGCCCCCCGGGCTGTCAGACGTGGAGACGAGAGAACGGAGGGAAGCTGGGTACTGCAGGCGCTGAATGCGCTGCCAGGACCAGGCGGGATGCAGGCAGCTCTAAGGAGATGGCCTGGAGGGGAGGAGCCCTGGGATCCTCCTGACCCCACTGGGAGCAGGAGCCTGTTGAAATGCTGACTGCAAGGTGCACGGTGCCGGGCATCGGTGAGCACCAGAACTGCCCCTGCCTTCCCAGGTGCCAGCTTTGCCATGGGGTCGTGCACTGTCTTGTCTTTCTTGCCTGCCATTGCTGTGGGGCCTGGGACCAGGCCTGGCTCTATCCCTGGCAGCCCCAGTGACACTGGCATTGCCTGAGTGGAGCTGGGGGATGCCTGGGGGCTCTTCTAGTTGCATTTCTCCTGTAGGAGATACTCCTGCCTCGCCTGGTCCCTGCCACATCCTCTGGCACTGTCCCCACAATGAGTGAGGGGCAGGGGTCAGGCCCAGCATCCAAGTGTGAGGCCTGCAGCCTGCAGAAGGCAGAGCAGGGGTGGGCAGTGTCATGCTGGGAGGACTGGGCCCCATGGGCAAAGGGGGCTGGGGCAGGGCTCGTAGTGGAGCTGTGTAGGCAGGGCCTTGGGGGCTGCAGGTCCCCCAGACACCGTGGCTCTGCTTGGAGCCCTGCTTACGGGCTGCGGTGCCTAGAGCAGGATACTCAGGGCCCACAGTGCTGGCTGTTGAGACTGACCGAAATGCAACGCAGTGAGCTCCAGGCAACAAGCAGAGCAGGCTCCCGTGGGCCCAGGCTCCGTGAGGCCCCAGGGCTGGGCGCTGTGACAGCTGAGCTGGAGCCACAGCATGGGGCATTGTCCAGGAGTGGGCTGCCCACCCGGGCTCAGGGATCTTGGGGAAGAGCAGGGCTCCTGACCCTGTGTTGAGCTGCTCCTGTCCGAGCTGGGCATTGCTCGGGGCTGGGGTTGTGGGGCACAGGGAGGCCTGCTTGCTCCCCGGCCCCGCGACAGCAGGCGGGACCCGGGTTCCCTTTCTCTGCCCCAACTGGCTGCAGCCTGCAGCTCATTGCCTGGGCTCGCATGAGTCAGAAGTGCATCCCTAAGGCATTTGGTGGTCTGGGAAGGCTTGTCCCTGTCCCCATCCCCAGCTGTACCCACTGTCGGGCATCTGCCCCGCACTGCGGTCCAGATGCCGTCACCAGCATTGACACAGGGGAAGAAGATGCCAACTTCACCCCCCAGGTCCCACTTACACCTGTCGCCACCTCGGGTGGAAGGTCCTGGGCTTCTGTCTGTGCAGGAGGGCTGGGGCGGGGGTCTCTGCCCCCCAAGCCACTGCTTTCCGGGAACCAGTAGTTAGCAGTGTGTGTTTGAGTCGTGGCTCTGCTGAGCAGCTGATTCTGCTTACAGTGTTGCTTTTGGGTCCAAACGTGTTGCCGGTTCTGGTTAGAGTAGTGTCGCCCCCAGCCGCTGCGCTCTACAAGCTTCTTCCTTCCATGACTAGTGTCAGGAAACCCCTCGTAGCCCCCGCGCCAGCTGTGGTGTCGGCAGCAGTGCAGAGATCAGCCCTGTAGGTGCGTAGAGGTGCTAGGCGCCAACCCTGAGCCACGCATAAGCGCAGCGGTAGGCTTGGGTTTCTTTTCATGCCGGGCTGCTTTGAGGTGAGTTGTCGTGTCCTCTCCGTTAGTACTTTGGGATGTTGGGACCGGAGGCATCGCTGCAGGGCGCCAAGCCCGGCCCTTGGTGGGTCCCTCCAACAGGCATCCCCAGAACGCGCCGCGGGAGGGGACACCCAGCACTGCCTTCTCCTCACGGACTCGAACATCCCACTCCCTGTCTGCCCATCTCTGCTCCCCTCCCAGCCCCTCCTTCCCCTGTCCCGACTGCCCCGCGGCTCCTCTGGAAGGGGCCTGCAGGCCGATCGCTTCGATTCAAACATTCCAGATCTTCTTGTTTACACTACGTCACGTAGAGACATTTGTAGCCGTCGTGTGGCCGTTCCATTGTGTGGGCCCTGCTTCCGCTGCCCGGGGCTTTGGGCCTTTGAGACAGGGCAGCGTAATCGGTGCAGCCGTGTCCCCACTGGGCTCTTCCCCCGCTGCCGAGAGCCTTGGGCAGCCACCAGCATAGTCCCACTGCGCCACCACCCTTGGGTTGGTCGGGTCTCAGCTGGCCCATCGCGGCCTGGATCTGGCCCAGGCAGTGCACGGGGCAGCAGGCAGCAGGCACGGCTCTGCCCAGGGGAGCAAACACTCCCATGTTGGCAGGGGCTGGGGTCGGGGAGAGGCCGGGGCGGGCACCACCTGTGTGTACGTGTGGGTGCGTGTCTCCGTGACATGTGGGTGCGTGCTTGAGTCTAGTCACCAAAGACCATGACCCCCAACTCTTGCACTCGCCGTGGTCAATGTACAGAGCTTGTAGTTTTCATATCGCAGAGGATTTAAAGCGGTTTTTTATTTTCGTCATTGTACATACGGGTTTCAGTAATAAAGAGAGACTCCAAGCTGGCCTCACCTCCTGCCTCTGTCAGCAGCGCTCATGCCAGGGGTTCCCAGCCCGCCCTTGCTGCTGGCTGGCGCCATCTCCCACCACTGCCTGCCTGCATGTGGCAGCCCTGGATGAAGTCCCCTGCTCCATCCCAGCCCCACGCGCTCTCAGGCCAGGGTGCCTGTGGCTGCTTCCTGGCTGCAATGCCAGGGAAACTGCCAGTGTTCACCCCCTGGCCTGCCCAGGGGCACAGCACTGAGGGAACATTGGGCTTGGCCTTCGGCAGCCGGGACCACAGCAGGACCCTAACAGGGCCCAAGTGCTGCCAGAGCCTCAGTGCCCCAAACAGGCCCCTGTGGGACCAGTTCCCTGCGAGTCATCCCCAGGGCAGGACGGCCTCAAAGCACAGTGCAGCTCAGCTGCAGAACTGAGGCCCAGGGTGCAGCGTCCCAGGGCAGGGAGGCTTGCATGGGCACAGGTGCTGTGGTTGTTTTGCCCCCTGGGGTCTCCCCCAGATATGCGAAGGGAGCCAGTGGGCTCTGTGCAGCCAGGCTGGGTGGGGGGCAGAGCTGTGTGGCTGGGCTCTGCGGGGAGCAGACCCCCAGCCCGACCCTCCCCAGCACTCACCAGGAGGATTAACGTTTAATCTTTATTGTTTTCCTGCATTTAGTAACAAGCTGGAGGAGAGAACAGGGGCAGGGAGATTTTGCCTGATTGCAGCTCAGAGTTTAAGCATTAAGTAGATTAAATCAAGGTAAGTAGATGAGCAAAGGGCTGGGAGTGTGGGGAAGCAGAACCCATGGGGCAAGGGCCCAGAGCCGTGACCCCGTGGCCCAGGCATTGCTCCTGCTCCTCTCCTGCCTGCCGGCGCTTCCAGGCCTGGAGGCCACATAGCCACTCGGACCTGGCGAGGGAGGGAACTCCTGCCACAATCCCACACCGAGCTCCCCAGCAGGGCCCTGCCACTGCCCTATCAGAGTCCCAGGGCGGCGCAGCACTTCGTACCTGGTTTGCCAGGTTGGATCCACTCCCCAGGCCACACTGTGGAGTGCAGGAGCTGTGTCCCTCTGTGTCTGCATCCAGCACCAGCATCGAGGCCTGCAAGGCGTGCAGGGCAGCTGTGCAGTTTGCAGGCATTAGGCTTGGTGGCAGATAATGAGATGAGCCCTGATTAACAGGTTTCTTGATAATTTGATTATTTCGGATCAGGCTGGGCCCCACACAAGGAGATGCCAGATGCTCCCTCTGTGCAGCTTCCTGTTTGCAGAGGCCAGACCCCATCTCCTGGGCCCAGCCTGCCAGACCATGGGGGCAGCCATGGGAAGAGAAGAGAGCATCTGCCTGAAACATCGTCTCCACCCATTCCCTGGGAGAGCCGAGATGTCCCAGGCCCC